GAAGAAAAGGGGAAGACTCGGGGTAGAATTGGTGTTGCCGACACCTTGAACATGTGTACATGAATCATCAGCTAATATAACTCAATTAGATGTAGGAGAGAAATAGGACAAGATATCTTGGTTCTCAGTCATATGATCAGTGACACTTGTATCTATAATCCAAGTATGAGACGAAGATGATATAAGTAAAGATAAAGGGATACATGCACTTTTGAGAGTAGCGAATAAAGAGGAAGACGATGTTTGTGAAATTTGGTACTGCTGAAATAATTGAAATTGCTGAAATTGACGCTGCAGCTCCGCATCATGGAAGAGTACTGTAGTTGAATTTCACTATCAAATAAAGTGAGGTTATCCTGAACAGTCATGTAAACACCATCGACCTTCTTTTCTAATTCAAAATAATTATATTTGAGATGTCCTGGTTGGTGGCAGTAGTTACAAGTCTTCACTGAGTTATCGCTATTAGTATGTCTGCCTTGAGATGGACCTCCACGGCCACCTTGGCCCCCAGAATGACCAGTGTGGTAACCTTCTCTCCTTTCAAAGTTACCTCTACCTCTTCCAGGACCACTAGTATGATCCCCTCGTTCATAAGACTGCCAAGTATGAGTGGCAAGCGCAGAGTGATCCGCGATGGATGTAAGTGGTTGTGCAGGGACAACATTCTTCAAAAAGTGATAACTCTCAGCCAGAGAACCAATAGCGAAACTCCCCATGATTTGTGGTCGAGCAGAGGAGTAAATGGAATCTAGGGTATACAAGTAGGTGAGTACCATAAATTTGTTCCATTGGTTTTGCATATGTTTTGCATCCCAGTAATAGGAAAAATCTGACGAAGTTCCTCAGCTAGACGATTGAACTCACCAAAATGATCATGTATGGGTTTACCATCCTGTTTCTTACGAAACAGCTCTTGAATTACTTCATATGCCTGATTAATATTGCTGCTACCCCCATAGTGATCTTGCAAAAAACACCAAAGTTTCTTCACTGTCATATAATGAAGAATTAAATCCTGAATTTTAGGCTCCATAGTATTAGGAAGTTGATGCAAGAGGATACTATCGTCCAATGTCTAAGATTCCAATGTCGGAGTAGGAGGGTATGTCAACAAATGGCTAGTTTTGCCTCGGCCTGCCGCGTAGGTTTTAATAACACGCTTCCATTGGAAATAATTAATTCTATCAAGTTTTCGGTCAGTAATTTTACCAGAAAATATCTCCGAAACTTTCGTCTGGACCGTTAACTCAGAATTCTTGAGTTCCTCAGATCCGACTATCATGAAACAGATGAGTAGAGTTCAAGACAATATCCTCCACAAATTGTACTCCAAATTGAAAACAATTAAAGTATGTTCAAATTCAAAAAAATAAGTCTTGAATTAGCCAGTAGCCTGAACAAGTCCAAGAACCTGAAGGTTCAATTTTGAACCCGAAGGTTAAAGTGCAAGAAACAGAAGGTTAAAGTGTAAGAACCCGAATGTTAACATGAAACGTGAAGGTTAAAGTGCAAGAACCCTTGAATGTTAAGATGGAACCCAAAAGTTTTTTTTTAAGGACAACTTGCAGATCTAATTCAGATCCGAAAACAAAAAGAGAGCAACGAGTGCGGGGCATGGCGGCGGCGAACGAAGGCCTCATGGTGGTGGCGGTCATCAACGACGAACAACGCCGGGTGGGAGTTGTCGCGTCGGGTGAGAGAAGCTCGAGGACGAGGACGTGGATCGGATGGACGAGGACGAGGAGTTGTCGAGGAAGATGAGGGCGATGATGAGGGCGAGGACGAGGAAAATGAGGACGATAAGGCGGCTGCAGGGTTTTGGCGGCTAGGGGTTTGGAGAAAGCGGCTAGGGTTTTTGGCGGCTAGGGTTTTGGAGAGAGGTGGGTGCCTAGGGTTAGGGTTAGGCTTAGGAAATTGGATTAGTATTAGGGTTAAGGGTTAGGGATAGGCTCTGATAGATAAGATTTGGAGAGAAAAGAGTTTCTTGGGAGAGTTTCCCCTCACTCTATACTTTATTATATTCTTTATTATTTATAGAGATGGATTAGTTACAAATTAGTCTCACAGGCAATTTGGACCTAAACTAATGCTAAACTAATACTCATACTCTTTTCTAACAGTCTCGTTTATAAAATGAAGTACAATAGATATGTGGCTTCTAATATTATTTTCAAGTCATTGAATAGTCTAGAATGTTCTTAAAGAAAGGGAAAAGTATGGTAAGGAGAAAGAAAGAGAACAATCTTCTTTACAAAAATACCTTTTTACCCTTTTGAATTACAATGGAAATGAGGACATGCCCAAACCTCATAGAAATTTTTGACTACCCATACTTGGGTTTTTTATATGGTAGTATAGATTTGGATTTTGATGATATGGACTTTTGATAACTAAAATCTTAAAATTGATGCTCATTTGGTATTGATGATGTATCTTTATTGGGTTGGATCAAGTGTTACACTATGATGTCAAAGTATTGTATAGAAAAAAGGAAATTATGAAGATGATGATGTAGATGAGAGAAAATTAGGAAGAAGAAAATTTACCAAACAAGATTAACCAATAGCAATGAACTATCGAATCTTGTCATGAAGAAAAGGCTTCATTGCACTTAAATACCCTATTGTTTCACTACTTTTCACTTATATACCCACATTTGTTTTCGACTGCACTTATATACCCTAAATTTTTTAAAATTTGCATTTTAATGCCCTCACTTAAGCAAACATGAAAATTTTCCCTCGAAATTTTTCATTGGGCACTCACATTCTAATCTTAGAACATTTTAATGCTTAATATTTGTTAAATTTAATAATAAACCTATTAAAATTCTATTTTAAAATAAAATTATGGAGTGTTTAAAAGAGGATTGTAGTAGTTTAATCTTCACTTTAACAAAAATTAAGGGTTAAAGAGTTCTAAAATTAGCGTGTAAGTATCACATGAGAATATTCGGGGGAAATTCTGATGTTTGCATAACTAGGGGTGTTAAAATGCAAATTCAAAATTTTAAGGTATATAAGTGCAACCAAAAACAAGTGAGGGATATAAGTGCAAAGTAGGGGAAACTATAGGGTACTTGAGTGCAGTTAAGCCTAAAGAAAGTCTGAGTTTTCTGGTTACAATGTATATATATGTGTGTGTGTGCATACATACATACATATGGACACACATATAGCTAAAGAACACAATTTCTACTCAATCACAGAGCTAATTAAGATGAATTCAAAGCAAATTATAAATCTAGCAAAGATAAAATGGTATGAGAGTCCTATCTGAACAAAAATAGAAATAACTTCTAAGGATCTTACCCCATCTCTGACCTTATAGTGAAATATTAAAATCTTTTGAAAGACTCCCATTAGGATCTATCCCAAAATAGAGTGGGATAATTTCTCATAGTTTATAGTCATTCAATTGGACTGTTGGCACTGTTATATAATTTGATGTGTGTTGTCATCACATTTGGCTCTTTTGGAATTCAGTATGAGATATGCAAATATGTTTTGTTACTGACATGTATAACTTTAGGGGTTGTTCGTTTCGCAAAATAATTTGGGAAATCAAATAATAGGAAACCTATTTCCTATAATAATTGATTTGAGGTTGTTTGGTTGGTTTAAAAAGGAAGAAAATTATAGAATAGGAGATGAGATAAGATGAGTTGTCACATTATTATTGGATGATGTGAGTGATTTTTAAAAAAAATTGTTTTGAAGTTGTTTGGTTGGTTAAAAAAATGAGGAAATGAATTGGAGATATATTATTGAATGATGTTTTGAGGTTGTTTGTGTTTGGTTCATTTTTAAAAATAAGAAAATAGATGAGATGTGATGAGTTGGAGGTATATTATTGGATGATGTGACGCAAACTTAAGGAAATCAATTTTTTGTTTTTTTTTGAGGAAATGGATGGGAAGGAAGGTTTAATGAGATGAGATGAGTTGTTACGATATTATTGGATGATGTGTGTGATTTTTAAAAATGAGATAAGATTAGATGTGGTGAGTTGGATGATGTGGTGTGATTTTTAAAAATGAGATAAGATTAGATGTGGTGAGTTGGATGATGTGACACATTTCTTGTGTTTGGTTTATTTTTAAAGGTAAGAAAGGAGATGAAATGAGATGAGTTGGAGGATAAAAATAATATTTTATTAGATGTTGTGGGTGAGTTTTAGGGATGGAAATGGATAAAAATATTATTTTATTGATTTCCTTGTACCGATTTCCTTTTCTTTGATTTTAGGAAACCAACCAAACGGGCCCTTAGGATGTTGTTTGTACATGTTATACATATGGTACTTTATATATGTTGCTTGGCTGGAGCTGATTGAGGTAGGAGTATAACCATGTTTTTGTACTCAATCAGTGTTCTGATCAGCTCGGGCCCTAACATTAAGTCTTATCCAGTTGGTGTGAGCTTTACAAATGCTTTGTCACTCATATTGCACTTAAAGAAGAACTAATTTTCTAGCTGGCAATTTCTTTCTTATAACTTCTCCTTAAGGCTTACACTACTTGAATATGCCAATTCAGTGAAGGTTGCTTCAAAAGATAGCCTCTAAACTCGGTGAAATCAGCTGTACCAGATACAAAATAGTATTGGTATAATATGTGATGATTCTAGCAGAAATTTTAGGTTAACTGGATAGCAGTAACAAGAAATAATGGTCGTGCTTTTTACTAAGCCAAACGATGAGATCCAAGAAACAGCTGCATATAGATGAGAATGCTCTGTTATTTACCGGAAATATATCCTAGAAAATTAGCTTCTATTTTCACTTGTCTTGTGATATTTTGTAGATGGTTTGTACAATATGTATATTCATAATCCTTATTCGATCATATTTCCATTTGAATTCATATTCGATCTATAGAAGATCTCCGTGCCGATTCTAAACTTATTACTTACTTTCCTTCCACAGAAAGCAATGTTGCTTCAACAATCTTCATGGCAGAATAATGTTCGAATTAGTCATCTTGTTGAACAAGTAAGTTATTGTTTTGTTCTATATCAGGCTGTAATTCACTTCATATGTTCCTTAAATATACTTATTCTTGCAGATTCGTGGCTCCCTTTCTAATATTAGAGCGCTTAGCAAAATGTTATCTGTTCATTTGAAGAGAAATGAGGTACGTCAGCCAGCTGTCATTGAGTCTGTGAATTTTCATTTGTTGGAAGATTACAAACTCTGTGACTTCTACAGATATCGCATGATATCACTGAGAACATACTCATGCAAGGTGATCATGTGAAAGACACACTCCAACAACTTCAGGATGCTGTTTACCTTACTAAGGTAGTTAATTATGGCAAAGGCTAAAGCCAATAGTTCCAATTTCCATCATATTTGGCTCAAAATCTCATTTGATGACGACAGGTTCATTCTAGGGAAAAGGAAATTGTCTGTATACTTAGAAAGTCTAGTAATGTTACAGATCTATTATAGTGATTATAACCCATGTTATCATGAGGACACATCATATGATTATTACAAGACATGGCTTGACTGTTTGGAGTTCAAGTAGCAATTCAGATGACATACAGATAACAGACTAGCTACCTTAACTCTTTATATATTAACTTTTAATGCAATCCTGTAACAGTATAAATGAGGAGTGTGCAACATTTGCTATCTACCAAAAGTGAAATCCAAATCTAACATAATTCAAAACCTCACATAAAATTCAAGTATAAAGACATTACTAAAGACTTTGTTCTCTTTCTTCTACGTACTTGTGTACTAGTGATCAGATAAACATATGGTATTAGAGATTTATTTATAAATCTGTTTGGTAGTTGTTAAAGTTTGGAGAGAAAAGAGATTATTGGAGAGTTATCCCCTCACTCTATACTTTATTTATAGAGATAGATTAGTTACAAGTTAGTCTCACAAGCAATGTAGGACTAAACTAATACTCTCTTCTTCTAACACTCCCCCTCAAGCTGGAGCATATATATCATGTATACCCAGCTTGTCACAAATAAAGTCAACCTGTGTTCGACCAAGTGGTTTTGTAAGAATGTCTGCCAACTGATCTACTGTCGATACATGTTTTGCCGTGATGATTTTATCCTCGAGCTTCTTGCGGACTATATGACAGTCGACTTCAATATGCTTGGTTCTTTTATGAAACACGGGATTCTTAACAATGTGAATTGCTGCTTTATTATCGCCATATAGATCCATGAGACATTCTTGAGGGAGACCAATTTCTGTCAATAGGTCTCTGATCCAAACCATCTCTAATGTTACATTTGCCATAGCTTTGTATTCTGATTCTGCATTGGATCGAGATACAATACTTTGCTTCTTACTTTTTCATGACACTAGATTTCCTCCAAGAAAGACACAATATCCAGTAGTTGATCTTCTATCAAAAGGGCATCCAGCCCAATCTGTATCAGAGAAGCCTGCAACTCTGGTGTCTTTGATTTGAGTAGAGAATTCCTCGTCTTGGAGCTTTCTTCAAGTATCTCAAAATTTTCATTACTGCATCCAAGTGAGTCATTCTTGGTGCGGATAAGAATTGACTCACAACACTGACTGCGAATGTGATGTCAGGTCTGATCACCGTCAGATAATTCAGTTTCCCCATCAATCTTCTATACTGTCAAATATCTTCAAAAAGCTCCCCTTGATCTGGTAGTAGTTTTGAGTTCACATCCATTGGAGAATCACTGCTTATGCTAACATTCTAGTTTTTGAAAACATATTCAGGACATACTTTCTTTGTGACAGAATAATACCCTTCGTTGACTTTGCGACTTCAATATCTAGGAAGTATTTTAGGGAACCAAGATATTTGGTTTGGAAATGTGTCTGTAAATACTTCTTCAGGCTATCAATATCAGAAACATCATCTCCTGTAATTATAATGTCATCCACATAGACAACAAGTAGAATTCGTTTCCCATTCTAAAATTATCAAAAGAGAGTGATCTTTTTGTGATGACAGAGCCCAAATTTCTGAAAAACCGATGCAAAATGTACAAACCAGGCTCTCGGAGATTGTTTCAGACCATAAAATGATTTCTTTAGCCTACACCTTCGCATTCTCCTCCCGAGCAACAAAACCTGGTGGTTGCTCCATGTTAACCTCCTCATCTAGAATAGCATTAAGGAATGCATTCTTGATGTCCAACTGATGAAGTGGCCAGTGGTTTGTCGTTGCTAATGAAATAAAAATCCGGACATGTCATTTTTACTACCGGAGAGAGTATCTACGTAATCTAAGCCATACACCTGTCAATAGCCTTTAGCAACCAATCGGGCTATCAGGCGTGCCAAAGTTCTATCAGGATTCAACTTGACAGTGTACACTCATTTGCAGCTGACGAGACGCTTTCCTGGTGGAAGTGGGACCAAATCTCAAGTCTCATTTTGCTGCAAGTCCCTCATTTCGTCCTGCATCGCTTGGTTCCAATCTGAAATAGACATGGCTTCTGACACATTCTTGGGAATCAAATATGAATCGAGGGAAGTAACAAAAGATCGAAAGGTAGATGATAGGCGATCATATGAGACAATTAGAAATAGAATGTTGAGTACAAGTTTGTGTCCCTTTTCGAAGTGTGCAATAGAAAGGTCTTCCGCAGAAGGGGGTAAATTTGCACTTACTGATTCAGGTTCTTCGGGCGGAGGATGTGGTGTTGAGACCGACGTTAGCACATGAGTAAGAGCAGAGCGATGATGATATTCTTGAATTGGGTCGTTAAACCTAGCTGAGTTTTTGCCAGTAGCGCAAATAGTATTGTCAGCGGATGAACCATCATCGTTAACCAATGACTCTTGTAGGATTAAATAGTCATACTCATCCGATAATAATGGAGTTGGAGAACTAGAATAACCAGGTTTGTCTTCAAAGAATGTTACATTAGCAGATAACACAAGACGATTGAGTGATGGATAGAAATACTTGTAATCTTTATGTTTTCAGGAGTAGTCAAGAAAAACACCTTTAATAAACCGAGAGTTAAATTTTTGTTTGTTTGGTCTGTGACTATGAACAAAGCACAGAGCCAAATTTTTTTGGAGGAAGCGAAAAAAGATCATCGTTGGGGTATAGAACATTAAAAGGAATTTTATGTTACAGAACATAAGAGGACATTCGATTAATCAAGTAACATGCTGTTAGGATAGCTTCCCCCCAAAACTCTTTAGGAAAGTGATGATGAAATAGCAAGGTTCGAGCAATATCAAGGAGATATCTATTCTTTCGTTCAGCAACTCTATTTTGTTGAGGAGTGTAAACACAAGAAGACTGATGGAGAATTTCATGTTCAAGAAAACTAGTGAAGTTGCCATCTAAATATTTCTTTGCATTATCAGATCGAAATTTTTTTATCGAAGTCTTGAATTGATTGACTATTTCAGAATAAAAGAGTTTACATGTAGAAAAGACTTCAGATAAAGACTTAAGAAGATAAATCCAAGTAACACGAGAGTGATCATCCACAAAACTGACAAAGTACCGGAATCCCAATTTAGAAGTTATTGGGCATGGCTCCCAGACATCAGAATGAACAAGATCAAATGGCTTTGCAGCCCTCTTATTGACTCGATTAGGATAAGACACGCGATGGTATTTGCTAAATTGACACGACTCACACTCTAAAGAGGAAAGAGATTTGAACTGGGGATTTAAAAGCTTGAGAACAGAGAGAAGGATGCCCTAGCTGACAATGGTATTGTAGAGCCGATGAGTTTCCAATACAAACTAAATGTTTGGCGCTCAAGTCCAGTTTATAATGACCGTTCTGCTCTGATACGTGTAACCAATATTCACATGGATAAGTAGGTAGTTGCATAGAGAAGAGTGATGTTAGTGGATAATTGTAGAGAGAGGAGTGGTGTTAGTGGGTAGTTGTAGAGAGAGGAGTGGTGTTAGTAGGTAGTTGTAGAGAGAAGTGATGTTAGTGGGTAGAGATAATTAGTATAGTTATATATAGTGGTTGTAATGGAGAGGATGGAAGGTATGTGCATTATTGTTTACTTATCATCTTATTCTTCTCTTTAGCTTCATCTGTTCTTTAGTTCTCCCTTCCCAGACTCCTCTGCCCCTCTTCTTCCTCCTCTATCAAATTCAACCACATCATTGGTATCAAAGCGGTCCCGACAATGGACACTCGCAACAAAACAAATGTAGAATTCCGCAACGATGTCAATGAAATCTTAGCACGACACAAGATTAGTTTCGATTAGGTGAATGCAACCTTACAGGAAGTATTAACTAAGCTTCAAGCTCTTCGAGCCTCCCATAGTCAAAACACTATGCTGAATCCTCACACCCACATACTTCTCGTTCTAACACTATCAATGATCACCCTCATCAACACCTCAAGCTGTCCTTCCCAAAATTTAACGGAGACGACCCAATGGGCTGGATTTACAAGGCAGAACAATACTTCGACTTCAAGAACATTGCACCAGACCAACAAGTTCAACTGGCCTCCTTCCATTTAGAAGGCATCGCCCTGTAATGGCACAAGTGGTTGACGAAATTTCGCGGACCACTTACATAGGATGAATTCATCAAAGCTGTCCTTCTCCGTTTTGGTCCAACAGACTACGAAGACCCGTCGGAAGCCCTAACTCGGCTTAAACAAGACTCAACTGTTGTAGCTTATCAGGAAGCTTTTGAAAAGCTTTCTCATCGCGTTGATAGCCTACCTAAAAATTTTCTCATTGGTTGTTTTATTGCAGTGCTTTGTCATGACATTCGCCTTGATGTAAAAATTAAGCAACCCAAGACCTTGGCAGATGCAATAGGAGTCGCTCGACTAATCGAGGAACGAAATCGGTTACACAAGCAACCGAGCCAACCATTTCGCTCCCAACCAAATTTTGTGACATCAAAGGCGACCACCCCTAACCCAACAGATGAGGTATTAGGTCCTCCACCAGCTCAGAATGTGAATGCAAGTTCAAAAACTATTACAACAACATTCCGTCAAATCACTAACCAAGAGGCGCGAGACCGTCGAGAGAAGGGGTTATGTTACTATTGTGATGAGAAGTTCATTCCGGATCATCATTGTAAACGTCCATAACTATTCATGATCGATGACGATAACATTGTTCAACAAGAACCAGAGAGTCAAAAAGCAATTTCCTTTCACTATCCTTGCGGACAAGGATCCTTGGGGGGGGGGGGGAATGATACGTGCAACCAATATTCACAACATGGATAAGTAGGTAGTAGTAGAGAGAAAAGTGGTGTTAGTGGATAGTTGTAGATAGACGAGTGGTGTTAGTGGATAGTTGTAGAGAGGAGTGGAACTAGTAGGTAGTTGTAG